GGTCCCGGCGCCTGCCCACGCCCCCGCTCGCCGCTCTCCGCCTTCCTCCGGAGCATGCGCGTAAGACAATCCGACGCTACCCGGCGTGGGGCGTCGGGCTCTCACGCCAGCGCCGAAATCTGCCTGCGGAAGCGGAAATTGACCCATCGCGGAAGGCTCCTTTCAAAGGCCTGGGGCCGCGCGCGAGGCACCGGCTTGGCGTGCGGACTTGGCGTTGACAGCCTCTTCCCTCGACGGGCGACCCTCCCAGCTATCCTCTTCAGTAAACCTCGTACTTGCGTTTTTTCATTTGTCCATGTTTATCTTTACAGAAGTTATCTTTTTGAGGATTTGCAACAATTCTCTACTTAATGGATGAAGCAATTTGAAATTGAGTTATTTACCAAGCTTACAAGTCTAGGATATTGAGAAAACAAAAATGAGATCGCTAGTCCAGAGCCCTTCCCAGCCCCCCGGCCGCCTCAGACCTGGCGAGCTCTGCTCCTGCACAGCTCCTGCGCATCAGGCGCCCCGTAAATATTTGCGGAGTGATTCAGCTGGGTCTGTGGTCAGAAACCATTATTTGTAGTGTCCATAACAGCCTCCTGTAAGATCAGGAATGTGACATCTTCGGTCACGTTATCCGCGTCTTTATTCCTTGCAAAGTAAAAAGAATGTGTAATAATGCCTACTGATCTCCCAAATCCATATGTTTCAAGAAGAAGCTTCCAGTCTACTAAACTTTTTCCTAAAATAGACCTGAGAGTTGGGCTGCTGCTTAGGAAAGACAGGTGAGAGCAATTCTTGGAGTCCACGGATGGGCTTCCGAAGTTCGTGGACTCCCTAAAATTAAGGACAAATATTTTGGGTGTGTTCACTGCTCACTTTTTTTTGAGACGAGGATACATAATTTTCCTCAAATTTTCAAAAGGGATCTGTTTACACTAAAGAAAAGTCTTAACAGGGAGTTTGAGAGGCCGTCTAGATACTTCTATTTCTCTTTAAGACATTGATCAACCATGGATATGGATATATTTTCACAAAGTCCTTTGGTAACTCAGCGCTATCCATAGCACTAAGGTATGTACCATCTCTCTTTAAAGCCTAGGTTTATAGTCATTTCAAGAAACGCCTGTCCATCCCCAACTGTTGGCTGGGGCTTGCTGCACAGCCCTGTCCCCAGGACAGTCTCCCTCATCTTGTTTTCAGACCCGCTAGGCCAGTAGGCCCACTGTCTTTACAGCCATGCGCCATACAATGATACCTCAGCCACTGCCCGACCACATGCATGACGGTGGGCCCATAGATTACAGTGGAACTGAAAAGCTCTTATGTCCTAGTGACATGGTAGTTTTTGTAATGTCCTAGCACAACACATTACTCAGTGTTTGCAGTCATACTGGTGTAAACAAACCTACTGCACTGCCAGTCTTGTAAAAGCCTAACACCTACAATTATATACAGTACATAATACTTGATAACGGTAAGAAACGACTGTTAATTGGTTTATGTATTTATTATACTATACTTTTTTTGTTTTTTTGGTTTGTTTTTAATTTTTATTATACTGTACTTTTATTATTTCAGAATGTACTCTATTTACTTAAGCCCGGCTAGTGTGGCTCAGTTGGTTGAGCACCGTCCCGTGCACCAAAAGGTCACTGGTTCGATTCCTGGTGAGGACACATGCCCAGGTTTCAAGTTCAGTCCCCAATACGGGAGGCAACGGATCAATGCATCGATGGATTTTCTCTCTCTCTCTCTCTCTCTCTCTTTTCCTCTCTCTCTAAAATTAAAAAAAATAGCATCTGCTTGCCCTGGCCAGTGTGGCTCAGTTGGTTGGGCATTGTCCTGTGCACCAGAGTTGCCAGTTTGATTCCCACATATGTTTCAATATCAGTTTCTTTCTCTCTTTCTCTCCCTCTCCTTTCTTCCCTTACTAAAAATCAATTTAAAATCTTTTAAAAAAAAACACCTGCTCTGATCTTTTTCTTCCTTCTACTGTCAACTCAGTTTGTTCTTCCTTTTCTAGTTCCTTGAAGTGTAAAGTTGCGTTGTCTATTTGAGAGCTTTCTTTTTTCTTAATGTAGTTTATTGCTATAAAATTTTCTCTTAAAACTGCTTTGTTGTATCCCATGTCTTAGTATGTTGTATTTCCATTTTCATTTATCTCAAGATATATTTTGATTTCTCATTGATTTCTCTGACCCATTGGTTGTTCAGTAGCATGTTGTTTAATCTCTGCATATGTGGGATTTGTCCAGTTTTCTTCTTATAATCAATTTCTACTTTCATATCATTGTGACTAAAAAAGATGCTTGATAGGATTTCAAAATTCTTAAATTTATTAAGACTTGTTTTGTGGCCTAACATGATCTATCCTGGAGAATGTTCCATGTGAGCTTGAGAGCATGTGTTCTTATGCTGTTGGATGAAATGTTCTGTAAATGTCTGTTAAGTCCATCTGGCCAAATATGTCATTTAAGTCCAATGTTTCTTTATTGATTTTCTGCCTGGGTGATCTATCCATTGTTGAAAGTGGGATATTGAAGTCCCCTATTATTATTGTATTGCTGTCTATTTCCCTCTTCACGTCTATTAATATTTGCTTCATATATTGAGGTGCCCCTATGTTGAGTGCATAAATATTTACAAATGTTAAATTCTCTTGATGAATTGAACCCTTTATCATTATATAATGACCTTCTTTGTCTCTTATTACAGTCTTTGGCTTAAAGTCTATTTTGTGTGATATAAGTATAGCTACACCTGCTTTCTTTTGGTTTCCATTTGCATGGAATATCTTTTTCCATCCCTTCACTTTCAGTCTCTGTGTGCCCTTAAAGCTGAAGTAAGTCTCTTGTAGGCAGCTTATGTTTTTCAATCCATTCAGCCACTCTATCTTTTTATTGGAAAAGGAAAAAAAAATTTTAAGTTACTTCTGTCCATATGTTTATACTCAAGTACTGTTTATATTTCTGTGTTATGTTTCAGTTTAGGCCTAGATTAGGTAAATAATGCGTGTGGTAATCAAAATGCATTATCATCATTACCATTAACTTAAACACTCCAGTTTATTGATTTTTTTTTTTTTTTAAGAGAGAGAGAATGAGAGAGAATAACATCAATGAGCGAGAAACATCAATCAGCTGCCTCCCGCATGCCCCCTCCTGGGGATCTAGCCCACAACCTAGGCATGTGCCCTGACTGGGAATCGAACCAGTGATGTCTCCATGCATGGGACGGTGTTCAGCCAACTGAGCCACACTGGCCAGGGCAATACCCCAGTCTAATTAAATTAATTAATTTAGTATATTTCAGTCATGAGACATATACTGAAGACCAGAAAGGAATGCAAGACTACAAAGCAGTGAGGACAGGGGCTGTGTATATCATGTTCATTATTAAATTTGCAGTGCCCAGAATAGCACCTTGTAAGAGGAAGTGCTCAATACAGTTTTATTGAATAAATAAATAGATAAATGAATAAATAAACAAGACACAGTCCCTACTCCCAAATAGCTCTTTACTGATTTTTTTGGGGGGGGGAGGAAGGGAGAGAGAGAGAGACAAAGACAGAGAAATACATCAATTTTGTTGTTCCACTTATTTATGCATTCACTGGTTGCTTCTTGTATGTGCCCTGAGGATCGAACCTACAACCTTGGCATATTGGGACGATGCTGTAACCAACTGAGCTACCCGACCAGGGCCCCAAATAGCTCATATTAAAATAAGAAAGACCTATAACAATTAAATACCATGCAACCATAAACATGTATGCAAGATCCTAAAATGACATAGAGGAAAGGTGATAAACCCTATGGGGATTAGGGCTGGGGAGGGTGTCTGGCAAGACTCCAAGGAGGAGCCTTTTAGATTATGATTTAGAATGACAGGCAGTGAAGAGTGGTGGGGACAGGGAGAAGAAATCACATTAGAAGCAGGGAGACCAGTTAGGGAGGCTTTGCAGCACTGCAGGGGGTGTTATGTCAGGTTCTAGGTCAGGGTTCCTAACCTGGAGTCCAGGGGAGGGTCCCATTAGCTCAGACAAAATTACATTTTTATTTTCACTAACTTTCAACTGATTTGTCACCTATGACTTTGTCACTAACAGAAATCACAGATATTTTTGTATTATATTACAGTTGATCTCAACTTCACAATTTCAGTATTTTAGGCCTGCCACTAGATCTTGTTATTTGATGCACATATACCGTCATAAATATGAAGCACGTATACCGTCATATCACAGATTTGTTTTTCTAACAAGCTGCTCACTGTCTGTCAATATAAATGTCTTTGTAATCTTACGCATTTTGTTTACACATTGAGAGAGATTCT